TGTATATATAATTTTAATTGATTTCAGAGAGGGAGAGAGAGATAGAAACATCAACGATGAGAGAGAATCATTGATTGGCTGCCTCCTGCATACCCCCTACTGGGGATGAAGCCCACAACCCGGGCATGTGCCCTTGACTGGAATCGAACCCAGAATCCTTCAGTCGGCAGGCCAACGCTCTATCCACTGAGCCAAACCAGCTAGGGCAGAATGGTTAGGGATTGTTCAGCTACCGGAAGGAGGTTCAGATGATGGGCAGCCACGAAAACAAGGCTGTCCACCACATTCTGCCAGAGCAGTCACTGGAAATGTGTTTGCCTGCTCATGCAGAAAGCTTCTGGAACTCACGTAAGAGCTAGATGTTTTAAAGGAGCTTTAAAGACCAATCTGAGAGAATTTCCTAACCATGAGCACTTCAAACTCTTCAACAGGAAGACGAACAGTTGCATTATCACTCGGCGGCTCGGAGTATCAGTAACAGACTTCCTCTCCCTTTGCCCGCTTCTCTCACCGCAGCCCCGTGGGGCTGGGATTCTTACAGAAGGGAGGCTTGCTTTCAAGGCGCTCAGGGCCCAGGGCCCTGTCTATGTGCTATTTGTCCTGCTCAATCATTGTAGCATCAGGGGAAACTGAGGCCTCACAACGCTCTGAGGATTGCTGAGGGAAATGTACATGGAATCCAAGGGCTCTACCCAACTCAGGTGTCACTGAGCAGTGTTTTAAAAAGTTCCCGACCTGCTGTAAGAACCTTCAGGAATCCCCACAAACACCTTCAAGGAATTGTTGAAGGCCTTGGAAAACAAAGTTTGCAACACACTGGGTAATGCAGAGAACACCAGACCAGGCATCTCAAGACCTGGATTCTAAGTGTGCCTCTGGGTGTAAGTGATTGCATCTCTGTGAGCTGTAATACCTGTAAGCCTTCGCTTCCTCTTCTGTGAAATGGAAAGTGTAGCCATCTCATGCGGTTATCATAAGGATGAAATAAGAAAATACATGTGCAACCCAGCTGAGCCGTAAAGTGTCCTATGAAGTTAGAATAACTTCTCACAAGCACACGGGGACCAAGAATTTCAAACCCAGAGCACTTGGGGCCTAGGTCTGCATTGCCTGGGAAGTTTCTGCTGTCCTGGAAGATACGGAGGCCCAGAGGCTCATGTGCCTGCCTCAAGCATGCTACAGCAGCCTGGAATGAACAACCAAGCTCACAGCCCTTCCTGTCCCATCACTTTAAACACATCCTCAGAGCCCTGGCTTGCTTTCCAGCCTGGATTTGGTAGGTTGGTGTGGCCTGATCTCCAAAGCTCAGCGTTAATGCATGCAGGGCCTCCCAGGTCCCTGGGGTGGCTTGCTTGTTCTTCCTGCATCTGGCTAACCCAGGTGCTGTTTTCCATTTTCCACGATTTGGTCTCCTCCTCAGAGACTTTCCCCAACAGCCCTGGGGAAAAGCCAATTGGCTAGAAAATTCCCACTTCCTAGCAGCCATTCCATGGTTTGTGATTGAGTTCCCCGGGGAGGCAGTCCTCTGGGGGGGGGGCTGCCTTTGTTTGGGATGCATGAACTTAAAGCCCACAAGTTGCTCTGTATGTTCTTCCAACATCTCTTCTGTGGGTTGGGTAGGGAAATTTCCCCAAACTTCCACAGCACTTCCTACCTTTGGAAGACAATCTCCTAGGTCTGGTCACAACCAGAAGGATGAAACTAACAAGGCACTTGAGCCCTATTGGGAGGATTGGGGTAAAGTAAGAGTTAATGGTAGGCAGGAGCCTTAGGCGTTGCCTGTTCAATATGAGCAAAGTAGGAGAGGGGGAGAGTATGCTAGGAGTGTAGGAGTGGATAAGGTTGTAGGTTGCAGTGTCAGTATTTTGGCATTAAATGGGAACCATCTCTAAATTAAAATATGTAATAAATATAAATATATGCAAAATGACTTCTCGCCTATGAATCATTTGTTTGGAACCCTTGTAGTTCTGAGCATATGAAGTAGGGAAAAGAGATGAAGGCAGTTCTTGTGACTTACTGCATTTAAAAAATACACACCCAGCCCTGGCCACCCTATTGGGAGGATTGGGGTAAAGTAAGAAGAGTTAATGGTAGGCAGGGGCCTTAGGCGTTGCCTGTTCATTATGAGGAAAGTAGGAGAGGGGGAGTATGCTAGGAGTGTATGGGGCAGTGGATAAGGTTGTAGGGTGCAGTGTCAGTATTTTGGCATTAAATGGGAACCATCTCTAAATTAAAATATGTAATAAATATAAATATATGCGAAATGACTCCTCACCTAGGAATCATTTGTTTGGAACCCTTGTAGTTCTGAGCATATGAAGAAGGGAAAAGAGATGAAGGCAGTTCTTGTGACTTACTGCATTTAAAAAATACACACCCAGCCCTGGCCCAGAGCACTGGCCCTTGGACTGAAGGGTTCGGATTTGATTCTGATCAAGGGCACATACCTTGGTTGTAGGCTCGACCCCAGCTCTGGTCAGGGCACGTGCAGGAGGCAACCAATTGATGTGTCTCTCTCACATTGATGTTTCTCTCTCTGTGTGTGTCTCCCCCTCCTTTCCACTTCTCTAAAAATCAATGGAAAATATCCTTGGGTGAGGATTAACAAAAAAACAAAAAATACATACCCAGCCCAACCGGTTGCTCAGTGGTTAGAGCTTTGGGCCTAGGACTGAAAGGTCTCGGGTTCAATTCCCAATCAAGGGCATGTATCTCGGTTGCAGTTTTTCTAGCTCCGGTGGGGGTGCGTTCGGGGTGGGGGGAGGGCAACCAATTGATGTGTGATGTGTCTCTCTCACATAGATGTTTCTCTTTCTCTTGCTCCCCTTCCTCCCTCCCTCCCACTCTCTCTGGAAATCAATGGAAAAATATACTCGGGTGAGGATTAAAAAAAAAAATACCCAAAAACCTTGTAGAAGGGAATGGGTATATTTCTGTCCCTGAATTTCTTGGTAATTCATGGAATCTCCTACTGTTTCCTTATACTGTATACAGGATGGGGCTTTGCTAGAGGGGGAGTCTGGGAACTGTGAATGTTTTTCATTAGGCCGTTGTTTTCCCATCTATGTAATGTGTTTATTATTGAAAAAAAAAGTGTTGCTAGGTTCCACTAATAAGATCAGAGCCAGCCTGCCTCCTATGGCATTAAACTTGGAGGTAGGTGTACTTAGGAAGGACCAACCTGCAATAACCGAAAACCCAACCGAAAACAATAGTGAAGTAAGAGTAAGATGTTTTCATGAAAAATTAGTAGATTTTTGAGTTGACAATGAAAGGAAACGACAAAAAACGTTGCGAGTTCAGTGTGCAGGGGAATTGTTCAACTACAGTGGTTCTCAACCTTGGCTGCACATTAGAATCACCTGGGAATCTTTTTAAAATCCTGATTTCTGGGCCTCATCCTCCAGAAATTCTGTTTCTTTGTTACTAATGTTGTGGCCCCACCCCATAACAAAGAAACAGAATTTCCGGAGGATGAGGCCCAGAAATCAGGATTTTAAAAAGATTCCCAGGTGATTCTAATGTGCAGCCAAGGTTGAGAACCACTGAACTAGGAGGTGTCCTAAAGGAGAGGGAACTACAGGGTTTATCGGAATCAAATTATTTCTTTACACTCTCAGCTGTAGCTTGTTGGGGAAGGGATCCTTTTGATGGGGAGAATTCAAGGGCTTTAGGGCCCGGGCAGGGTGAGTAAAAACAGTTAATTAAACAGTTTTCATCCGCTGGCAAATCACAGCCGCACCGGATCTTAAGGAACTAGTGGGCTTGCAAGATGCTAACTTGCCGGAGGTGGCTGCTGCTGTGTGCACCTTACCTGGGGTCAGGCCACTTTGAAGGTTAATTGTCACATCGCCAATCTGCAGCTGAGAGGCCCTTGCAGATCTGGGAAGCAAGATACCATCAAGGCTGGTTACTGCAGCCGGCAGTCAGCAGGAGAGGAAGACGGAGGGGCTGCCAGGAAGTACGGCCACCTGCGCAGGTGGGTGCTTATGTCCCTACACCCGTCAGAACCTTCATATTTGTATAGAGCAGGGAGCACAGCATGGACACCAGTTACTTAAACTCAAACCAGGCCACAGCTAAAGGCAGGACGTAAATTATCCTGGATGGAGACATTACACAAGGTGGGCACCCCAAAACTTTGCTGTTCGAAGGGAAAAGTCCTTGGGATCTGAGCCAGTCTGGAACTAAGAGAACTTCTTGTGGACACTCCTCATTGATTTGAATGCCTTTCTACTCCTTTGAACAATTTATTTTATTTATGAATCCTATGTAATAGTAATAATAAATTATTAACCAAATGCCAGCAACATGCACACTATTACACTAGGCTTTGTAGGGGATGCCAAGAAAACGATTAAATCTGTACTTTTACAAATCTTTGTATTTTCCAAAGTGCTTTCAGATCCTTGCACGATTTTGTTTTTATAACCCGAGTTAACCCTTCCCAAGAAGCTCCTCCCACTGACTTTACCTTGTTATATTTATTCCAGTTTTTGAAGTTGCATGCATTTGTACTTGTCTATCTTTGATATGTGTTTACATGTGTACACCTTATATTAGACTGTTTCTTAGAGCAGTTACCTTCATTTTACCACTTGCACTAAAAGTTCCTTAAGGCCTGGCTGGTGTGGCTCAGTGGTTGAGCGTTGACCTATGAACCAGGAAGTCACAGTTCAATTCCCCCTCAGGGCACATTCCCGGGTTGTGGGCTCAATCCCCAGTAGAA